TTCATGTTCACGCTTAAGACACCTCTATGTCATCCTAAATTAAAGCAGGTCCAAACCTCTTACTGTGGCATATTAGACACCTAAGTATTTGACACTTCTTTAATCTTTTGTTTCTTCTTCTATAGCTTCTTCCCAAGCAGCCTGTGACTAAATGTTACTGAATTATTTAAAGTTTATTTGGTTAACCTCTCAATATTTTTCTGAGTTGTTTCCTCTACTTGGGAAGTATGTCCTCAGTCAACCATTTATTTTAATAATTGCTTACACCTCAAAACCTAACTCCAGTATTTATGTCCTCTTAAAGTCTTTCCTATTGCACTAAAACTTTTCTTTCACTCAGGGCACTGTGTTTGGTGTAGAATACTGCATTAAAATGTTTGGTCTATCTTGTTTTTAAATTTCTTTCTATACTCTGAGATTCTTGAAGATAAAATCCTTGTCTTACTCATCTTGGTATCGTTAGAAACTCGTGTAGCACCAAGGGTAGAGTAAAGCACTAATAATTATATTTGTTGAGCAGTGGAATTAATAAACATAAGGTGTTCGTTATTTAAAAGTAAGCTCACAGACACAATGACTTCAGTTGGTATTTCAGAGTGATAAACCAGCTACAACAGATTGTATTATTGATAATGTAAAACATCAGAATGAGAAGAATATGATATTGAGGTGAGTTTTTTCAAAATTAGCGAATAGATATATCCATTTAAAATATTTTTAGAGAAAAGAAATTTGCACGGAAGAACCAGCTAGTATATATTTTATCTTTATGAGAGGTATTTATGCTCTGATAAGAAAAAAATAAAGAAGCATAAATCATAAATCGTTTTAGATCAGCATCTGAAACTACAGACTGAAGGTCATGTATGAGAGGCTGCAGAGGGGAAAGCAGTCCTCTGAATTTAGACTTCATAGGGACCATCTACTGCAGGATATTGCAGATTCTTATAAAGTAGACAGTGGAAGCAGACAGAAGCCAGCTCTTCAGAGAATGGAATCACTGAGAAGGAAGGGCCATCCATTGCCTTTGTTAATTGAAGACTGGATTGACCTAAGCAAATATTTGAAAGAAAGTTTGACAATGTCAAATGTGTGTGAGGAAAGAAGCCTGATATTGGAGACTCAGCTATTCATGAGTCAGAGTTAAAGAGAGGAAAGTTTTTAATTGCACTGGAATGCTTTCTGTCATTTGAAACCAGCTGGATTACACAGTTTCTAAATAATCAGATCATAAGCCAAACCTATGGAATGACTTTCAACCTTTGGTTAAAGAAATACGCACAGGCCATTTAGAGAAAGTAGTAGGGACAGAATGATTTTCCGTGACACAAATAAAACACAAAACAATTTAAAATGAAGTGAGCAGCAGCAAGGAGATGAAGTAACATTAATGAACTAATAGTTCAATTGAGGTTTTTCTGGTGATTGTAAAGACGGAGTTTATCAAATGAGATTCAGAGGAATTTCTGGGTTATGTGGAATTTCAAGGTCAGATGAAAGCAAATAAAATCAAATGGCCTTGAAGTTCACTTTCAACGTTTCTAGTTTCGTATTTTCTCTCTTCATTCTAAGGTTTTAAAAGTCAATATTTATCCTTCCTATATCTAGTTTGTTTTTGCCAAGTTTTCCTTCTTCAAAAAGCTGGAAGTAAAGCATTTTTCTCTTACATATATTTCTCTTGGTAAGTTACTTCAGAGAGACATTGAAACAGTAGCTTCTATTCCATAAACTCAAATATAATATCTTATATTATGCCATGCTATTTCCCACCTCTTTCCAAAATCATTCCAGTTGTCCATTTATCTTTGTTTCCTACTAAAATTAACATGAAAAATTGGGGTCATAAAAAAGGTGTGCTTATTATTATTTTAAGATTCAAGTCAAGGGCACTTTTATCCCAATTATATATCCTACAAATTTGCTTGTATTCTGCTTCAGTGTATAATATTGTACAAGGGTTACTTTATTATTTTATTTCTATTTACACTAATTCTTATGTTTTCCAGTAAGAGCATTTGTGTCTGTAAATTAAGAAATAGAAAACCTTGAGAAGTATCCCTAAAACTCTAATGTCTCTCAAATATATCCATTCTTGAGAAATAGGTGACTAGTGGTAAGTAAATATTTACTCCCAAATATATCTCTTCATATACATACATATATACATGTATTCTCTCACACTATAGGACAAAACAGATTGGCAGTGAATGAGATAGTGAAGTATGGTTTTTAAATGACTTTTTAACATTTTTTTACTTTGTATTATTTTATGATTTTCTGGTAGAAATCTGACTGCTTCCTGAATAGTATTTTGTTCTGAAATTCAATGTGGATGAAATTATCTTGTTCAGAGCCAAATGCAGTATAAGTCTTACTGACTGTTAGTTTATGATAATACCTGGCAGAGTAGGCAGGTTAAAAAAAATTGCTCTAAGGAAAAATATTTCTGTCTACTAGCTTGAATATTTAAAACATGTAGTGAAAAGGAATAATGATCAATATAATCAGATTGGAGAGGCAGTTTGGACTACCTGCAATATTTCATAATGTTTCAAATTTTCATGGTTTACCACTGAATATTATAGACTAAGTCAGTTGCTAATGTCCCAGTTTGTCATTGTCTCTGTATGCAAAAAACTAGGGTAAGTGTACCTGTGCTAATATTCCAGAAATGGAAATTGTGAGAGTACATCTGAAGCTATTTCTCAGAAGTGAGAACTACGACTTCCCATCATGGTGAATAGTCCAGCAATCTGGTAAAGTCCTTTAATGTGAATATCTTTAAAAATGAAAAAAGGCAAAAAATTGACATAAGACAGATGTATTGTTTGTCAAGTTTTGTTCTTTGAGTGTCCTGAAGAAGGGGGTATATACTTTTAGAAGAATGTGAGTTACTTGCTTTGGCAAACTTCATGGTTCAATTTGAAACTCAAAGGTATAGTTCAAAAATTGATTTTAAATAACCTGAAATAGTTGTATTAACTTTTCAGAATGAGAAATATTCTGATTTCTGATTCTATCTATACTTCTAACAAATAGGTTTAAAAAACTTATCATACAAGCATATTTATTGGCTAGAATATTTTTTATTCTTTTTCCCCCCAGAATCTATAACATAAAATTAGTGATTGGGAATTTGAGTAATGTCAGTCATTGACAATTTAGTGTTTTTGCTGTATAGTCTCACTTTAAGTTTGTATTAAAGAAGAGTTTGCTGTGTTTTTTTTTTTAAAGATTTATTTATATGTACAAATCATAAAATAATACAAAGTAAAAAATGTTAAAAAGTCATTTAAAAACAATACTTCATTATCTCATGCACTGCCAATCAGTTTTGTCCTATAGGCCAGGAGTGCGGGGTTGAGGAGGTGAGAGGATTCACCAGAGAGAGTGGGGAACAGAACAGGCAGATCTGAAATCCACTGCTGAGGGAAGCAGCAGACAAAACAGGAGAGGTCTGCTGTGCCATGTGGGTCAGCTCCCTGGCCAGGATTGAACTCATGCTTCAATGGCTGGAGATAGCTTGAAAGCACTGAGACTTGACCTCTGCACCACCCGGGAGTCCCTGTATTAAATAAGAGTTTGAAATTGCATTCACCCCCTCTAAGTTAGCACATTTTATTTTGGCTCTGTCTGGTGTAAATTCTTAATGAGTTACATAAGGTAGTATTATTTCTTCAATTAACTACAGTGAAAGACCATGAAAGTGATTGAAAACGGAAGATGCAAAGCATCTGCAGTGATATTGACTGGAGAAGCCTTTTGGGGGTAAAATGAGAGTTATACTTTCGGTTTACTTCCTTCTGTGATTGGAAAGCAAAAACAACTTGTGTTTTAATAGGGTGCTGTGAGTTTGCATCTTTCCATTTGCTGGTGAACTTAGTTTATAGTCATCCCCTTTACTGGCAACAAAGTCTTAGCTCTTGGAAAAGATATTGTTGTAGTCAAAAGCCTCTAAGTCCAGTCTTAGGTTTAAGAACTTGTTCAAAATTGTGTCACCTGAAATTATTTCTTGTTTTGTGAATTAAGATTGCTCACTTATTCATCTGTTCGTTCACCTGATATATGAGCACTTGCTATTGTGCAACGAACTATAGCTACAAATAAAGGCAAAACTGCTCACATGAAGGACATCATTGGAAATAGCTGTCTTGGTTCTCTACTGAGTCTCGCATGTTAGAACCATGTACATGGAGTTGCTTTGTGATTTTTAAAGCACTATTCAAGTTCCAGAGGTTTTGACAACCAAAAACAGCAAATAAGAATAAAAGTTTACACAAACATTTATCGAGTTGAATATGAGAATAAAATAGTCAACTCTTGATTATTCACGGATTGGCTAGAGTTTGTGATTATCAGTGCCCTTTGATTCTCCTTCTCCTTCCAACCACCAACTATTGAATATTTCTCTGCTCATTAACACCTGTCTAGGAGTGGGAAGGTGAAATGCTAATCAGCCAATTTGGCTAATTGTTAGCTGCTATGAGCCTTTTCATTTTATTTTTTTCTGAAGTTGAGGGAGGGAAATGGTGAAATCTTTTACTAAAACGTGGGCTGGAATTCTAAACTTTGTCACATTCTCTTCCTTTTACTGCATAGATAAATTCAGATATTTTGTTTTTAGTAAAATATTTCAGAGAATGAAAAAATCTATTCATTAGTTTGCAAGTGTCGATATAACTTCACATTGCATAGTTCTTATTGGCTAATGTTTTGAAAATCTTAATTTTCTAAAAGAAATCATCAAAATTAATAGTTGCAATTTTAAGTGTAGTCTTATGTAAGTAACTGAACTTGCTAAGTGGGTTTAGACCAATAGGGAGTAAACTTGAAGAAAATGACTAAAGATTACCCTCCCCTTTGCCTCGAGTAGACATTAAACGACCCTCCCCACACTAAATAAGGGGAAGAAGAATGTTCTGAAAATCAAGAGCACTAAGAATAAATCTGAGCTATCACAGATAAGGTTACTTTCAACTGTTTATTTCATGTTTTCTGACATAGACCCCCAAGATCTGTAATTATCTTAGGGAAACAGCGGGGGTTTAGACAGTTCTCTTTAATTCCTTTGCCTTTTTTTTCCCTATCTCTCTTTGGGGCTGGAGAGTTGGAGTGTGTGTGTGTGTGTGTGTGTGTTCCCCTAGAGTGCCAAAAAAAAAAGTGCTGAAGAGGAGTCTTAGGGAGATGAGGCTATTTTTGTTTGAAGCTGATACTTCTGCTGAGCCACAAGTGCTGTTTGGAAAGGGCTCAGGTTGTTTCCAGGGGGAGAACTCTGCAGAGGAGAGACAAAGTTCAACAGGACAACAAAGGAGCAGCAGAAACAGCCAGGAAAACGAAGACGAAGAGCCCTCACGTTTTCTCACAGAACCAACAGTTCTCCAATCCTAACTTATTCTGCGAAGTGCCACTTAACTGGAACTTTTCACCTGCCTTTTCCTTCCTCCATCCACCATGACTGAGATCACTGCTGAAGGTATTGCTATCATTTTCCAATAGTATCATCTAGAAAATTGAAAGGTGGAAATTAGCAGGCCATTGACAGTTAATGTGTTGACTTAAAATGGGGTTTTTAAACAATTTTCTTGATCAATGATACTGAATCAGAGAATGAATTTGGAAGATGAGAGGCTGGCAGATCTGTGTGTTGGGGGAGTGAGAAGAGGTTTCTCTGAATTTTTGCATGTGGAAACTGTTCTTTGCTATGCCAAAAGCCCCACTAGTTAACAGTTGTCTCCCACACCTCTATAAATAGCTCTGGTCATGTAGCATTAGGGTTGATATCTTACCTAGCAAAAATACAAGGCTTGCGAGAAAGGAGGTCATCAAGAACTTATAATAATACCTTCAATATTCAAACTTAGAAAAATAATTTTGAGGATTTTTAAGTTTTTGATATTTTAATTAGATATCTTAAATTTGTTTTTTTGTCTAACTAGAGTATATAAACACAAACATATATTTTATATACAATTTAAGATATAAGTGCTCTATAGGCTGTGTATTTAACAAATATTTATGGATATTCAGAGATAAGGTTTGAAATTGCCCAAGATTATTACAGATCAATGAAATTTAAAAATTAAACAGTTGAGTATGGAAAATCGATCTTTCACACACATGAAGTTCATTTTCACTTCTTTTTCCTTCCAAATGTTGAATTTTATTTTATATTAAAAATAATTTTGATTTAATGTTAATTCTGGTAAGATACATCTCCTCAGTAAAACTTATTATAATCTTTATTATTTGTAACTTTACATATATGTAAAATATATGCATTTATGTAAATATACTTTTTCTTTGACTAAAAGTACCCTTTATAACAGCTAAAACATTTTGAATACATACATAATCCCATTCTAGTTGGGGTAAAAATTTGGGAGGTGGATCTAAACTTTGTTTCTGACAGCTGTAAGAAAATTAGACAGGTGGTATTATCCACAACTTCCATGTTGAATGAGGCACTGGTTTGCTTTTAATCAGACAGCTTAAAAAAATAGAACTTGTAGTTTTGGCTCTTTGGGCAGACATTAATATGGACATACAGTGACTTCAGAGTTGGAAGTATTCAGTCAATATTTTATAAGGAGAAATGTTTTACTTATACCTTCTACTGAGAAATTTAGTCTGTCACCCAAATTAATAAAAACAGTTTCTGAGAGATTTCTGTATATCAGGCCTTTTGCTCAGGATTTGATACGTATTTTCTTATTTAAACTTCATACAATTCAATTAAGTGAGCATTAGTATCTCCATTTTGCAGAAAAAGAAACTGTAACTTAGAGGTTCTGTGACTTGCTCAAGACCACAACGAGGCCAAGATTAGAAGCCAGTTCCCATAATCTAGTTTGTGTTTTTCCTTTTCTGAAAGAGGATATCAGGTTTAACACTTTACCAATTTTAGTTCAGTATTTGGTAACTAAATATAAATAGCATTTTTTCCCTTTTCCTTAGATATTCTCTATCACATGACATTTAGTTTGTCTTAAAGAAAGCCATCTACAAAAATTGGCTTAACTCTACCCACATCATTAACATACCTATGGATATATTTCCTTACCTCTGCACAGGATGTGGATGGCCAGCTGATGCAGGTCAATTGGCCAAAACAACTTTGATATGCCTGTGGGTTTACTAGACCTTGATTTATGCAGCATTTTTATAGGTAAATTTTTTATCGGTTTCTTTCCCCATGGAGAATTTAAAAATTTTTTGGAAAACCTCTTGGAGTTATCCTTATAAAAGTATTGAATTGGTAATAAATTAATAATGTAAAAACACCATCTTGTTCCTGGGTAATCGTCATTTCCTACTCCTTGGCCATCACAATTCATAGAATTTAAGTCATCTGAACACCAGCTATATACTCTTCCTTTTTCTGGAATGATTTATTAATCATGTTTCTCAAATGAAAATTAGACTGCCAACTCAAATGAACTTTAGTTCTCTGGTTAGTACCATAGTCTTTCTCTGTCACTACAGAGAAATCCAACATTCCTTGCATACTGCTTTACTACACGCTTTTCATTTTGTCTTTATGATTATTATTTGTTTGTTTTTGTGGCCCAGTTACAATAACTTTCCTTCAGTCTTTACTAAGAGAGTACTTTTGTACAGCGTCTTGGTACAGGTTATTCTCTCTGCCTGGGATATTTTTTCTTCTCATCTGCCTAATTTTTTTTTTTTTTAAGATTTGTTTATTTTTATACAAGAACCAGGGTACAGGCCAGATACGCGGGAGGGTGAGAGGATTCACCAGAGACAGAGCAGGGACCAGAACAGGCAGACTGATGAAATATATTGCTGAGGTGAGCAGCGGGCGAGACAGGAGAGGTCTGCTGTGCCATGTGGGCTTCTCGCCGGCTGGCTGGGATCGAACCTGCGCTGCAGAGGCTGCAGACAGCTTCATGGTGCGGTGCTCAACCGCCTGCACCACCAGAGAGGCCCACATCTGCTATATTTCTTTTGCCACTACTTTTGGACACATTACTGAAACGTAAACAGTATCAGTATCAGCAGCCTTTGGATGTGCAGGGGTTTCTCTTTCCACTGAATTGTCACAAAGCAAGCCATCACCTTTTATTACTCAGGAAGTTAGGAGCCAGGGGAGCCTTTTAGAGAGCAGTTCCACTGTCCTCACCTCAATTTTTGGAAAACTGAGACTGTAACGGTTATTGATGAGTGGGTAAAATCTGATGACACAGTTAATGTTTCCTGTGGCTTATCCCAGCATTTATTTAACTATAGTGCAGGTCATGTCTACAAACCTACTGAATTTCTCACAGAGATTTCCACTGCGTGTTCCAAGTTGGATTACATCATCTGATGGAGAATGGAAGTAATGCCAGATATGGAACTGTGTTTCAGATATGGAACAATAAATTAGAATGAATTAGAACCAGGACAAAGCTGAACCACAAAGAATTTTGGTGAAATGACACCATTGACTCTTAATGTTAAATCAGAGATTCATGGGAGTCTCATTAGGCCCTGCTCTGGTTTGGTCCATGCTACATCAGAAAGGTTAGATCAGGTCTCAGATTAGATCGAACTCAACCAGTGCTAAGGGTTAGGACTATAAATAGCCTTCTGCCTTCTTTCCAACGGTCGTTACTCCTAGATAAGTGCCAAGGTTAGCTTCCCCTTCTGAGGCTTGTTTGAAACAACTATTTCAGGTTCAGTTTGCCAGCATATATCATACAAATACATATGTTGAGTAATTTTGATTGTCAAGTAAAGTTTATTTAATTTTTAATAACTTTTTGAAAATTTTGAACTTTAAAAAAATAATAAGTAAAGGGCCTCCCTGGTGGTGCAAGGAGTTAAGCACCACACTCTGAAGCAATCCACAGACTCTGCAGCACGAGTTCGATCCCTGGCCAGTCAAGGAGCTACCCACATGGTGCAACAGGCCCCTCCTGTCTCACCCACTGCTCCCCTCAGCAGTGGGTCTGGGAGCATTTCAGTCAGCCTGCCTGTTCTGCTCCCCATGCTGTCTCTGGTGAATCCTTTCACCACCCGCCGCCCACATTTCTGGCCCATACCCCAGCTCTTGTATGAATAAATAAATAATTAAAAAAATTAAAAATTAAAAAATAAGTAAAATATGTAATGGTTTTAAACTGCCAGTTAACTAACGCAGTCAAGTTATGATTAATAATAATATTTATATAATTGTTTTCTCTGGGCCCCAATACCTCCAAAATATAGGAAAATACAATTTGTTATGTAGGGGTTTCTAGTTTGTGTGAAGCTTATATATGATTAATTTAGCATTTACTAGAACACTTAATAGAATTTTTTTTAATTATAAGAGGTTATATCCTCAGATTCTAAACTATTAAAATGCATTTATGCATTCAACAGAAAACTTGTTGTACTATGTACAGAATTCTTTTCTTGAAGGTTGTTTTAGGGCAAAACTGGTCATTTTTTTATACACTATGAAGTTATACTTTTATATCAAACATTATTGTGGAAACCAGTGGGATATATAGTTCAATTGAAAATCAGAGAGAGGGGCCTACCTGGTGGCACAAGGAGTTAATCGCCAGCACTATGAAGCAATCTGCAGTTACTGCAACACAAGTTGAATCCCAGGCTGGGGAAGGTGACCCACATGGTGGGGAAGGTGACCCACATGGCACAGCAGACCTCTCCAGTCTTGCCCGCTGCTCCTCTCAGCTCTGTATTTCTGTCAATCTGCCTGTTTTCCTTCCTACTTTCACCCCCTGCATCTCTGGCCTGTACCCCAGTTTTTGTATGCATAAATAAATAAATCTTCTTTAATTTTTAATTTTTTTTAATTTTTTATTTTTTTCAAACAGTATTTGCTTCCCCCCACCCCCTCAGGTTGAGTCCCCATAGAATTTCCTTCCCCAAAGCACCCGTACACCATCACCACAGGCCCCTGTGCTCCTCCCTCCCTCCCTCTGACCCCTCTTCCTCCTCCTTCCCTGCAGGATGTCTCTGATTTGTAATTGTCTGGTTTTGCTTTATTGTGTTTTGTACTGTTATTATTTTTTTTTTTTACGCTGATGTCTTATTTGGTTCCCCTATAGTCCTGTTATAAGTGAAACCATCTGATATTTTTCTTTTTTCCTTTTGGCTTATTTCACTGAGCATAATTCCTTCTAGCTCCATCCACATTGCTGCAAATGGCATGAGTTTATCTTTTTTTTATTGCTGAATAATATTCCATGTGTATATATATACCACATCTTCTTGATCTAGTCATCTATTTTTGGGCATTTGGGTTGTTTCCAGGTTTTACCTATTATAAATCTTTGAAAAAAAAAAAAAGAGAAAATCAGAAAGAGAAAGTAGTACAGGGCTGACAATGAAGTGGTAAAACAATTACAAGCAGTAGCAAATATGTGGTTTCCAGTCAGAAATATGGACCATGCACCAGGCCTACTATATAACCAGACATGGTCTGGGAAAAATGGTGGGCCTTACAGGAGGAACCACATA